AAAGGCACTAGAAGAAAATTTCCTTGTGCCTGTGCCTCACGTTAGACACCCAGGCACCTCGCTTGCAGGGAGGCTGTGGTGGGGCTTGGAGCGTTTGTGAAAAGCTGGTCCCAGTTACTTCAGTGCGTAACTGGGTTTTCCTTCCCTGAAATAATATTTATTAATGAAAGTGCTTTGACGGCTAGCAGAGCAAAAGCTGCATAAGAGCTAATTACCAAGGAGCGAACATGTGCTCTCCCTCTTTCACCCGGCCGCAGCAGGGCCTTGGGGGCATGAGCGTCCTTTGGGCGGCCGATACGCCTGCTGCTCTGGGGGGACCAGGGGCTGCGCCCACCGCGGGCAGCTGCAGGGCACAGCATGAGTTTCTGTCGTACGTCGGAGGAGGAGCAGGATGAAGCTGGTTGGGTTTTGCGTCAGAAAATAACAGGGCTGCTGTTTTTCTCCTTTCAGCTATTCATCAAGGCTCAGCGCAAAGGGCCTGACACCCGGTCATCGCTGTGGGCTGCTGTGCTGGGTGAGACACGCGAGCCGCCATCCAAGCATGGTAACGACCGATTGAAAATCCAGCGCCTGCCCGAGAGCTCCTTCCTGCAGGAGAGACAGTCAGGTATATCTCTATTTTGACGCGTCCCAGTTGAATACGGACGAGAACAAGCAGAAAATGGCCGAAGATAAATGCAGCAATTAGGGAAGCTTAATGGCGCAGAAGGATTTTGTGAGGAGACAAAGAAATTGCCGTGCGGACACCTGCAAGGAGGTCTTGACCGCGTCGGCGCCACAGGCTCCAGCTGTGCTTTGGTGGTGGGTCCGCAGCAAGCGACGGTGACCCCTCTTGTTCAGCCGCACATCTCCGAAGAGCTTGAGAAAATATCTGCCAGGTTAAACTTCAAACCATCATTTGTGGTTTTTTTTCCCCATTATGTTCAGAAATTGTAGCCTGTAATTTGGGCCTGTTGTAGACATCCCTGGCTCCCTGCTATTTCTTCAATTTTTTATAATACAGCATGTTACTAGGAACAGCATCTTCCTGACAAAACATTGATCGTGGCAGTGCGGAAGAGTGGTGGCTCGGTAGGGTGACGGCATCTCAGCCGCCCAATTCCCGCGGGGCCGCGGGCAGCCGCGAGGGCTCACCCGGGAACCCGCTGCTCGACCTGCAATAGCCGCGTGTTTCAAGCCAAAACCACTGCCTACCACCGTCCTCCTCACAAAAGCATGGCATTGCAGAGTTAATCCCTCGGCTATTCCCTCTGCCGGATTTGAGTGTAAGTGGTAAATTTGTTTGCCAAAGCCTCGTTTCTCTTTACGTCCCGAGTTAGGCTCTTCCCAAAGCAAACTGCTCTTATAAACAGACGTAAGTGAAGCATTAGGGGAAAGCTCTTCATACCCGTAACACCGATGAGCAGAAAACAGCCTGGGCCATGGTGGGGCAGAGCTGGCCCTGGGGCCGAGTCTCAATGACAGCAGCCCGTTTTGGTCTGTCGCTGGCCCACTGCCAACCCCAGCGACACACCAACCTGTGCACGTGTCATCTGCAAAGGGTCACATGGGCAAAAAGGGATTTCCTGAAGGAGACAAAAGATTTTCTGGCTTTTTTATCAGGAAAGCTGAAGAAACCCCAAATCTGGTTTTGCTCACCTCCAAGGGCTCACCTGCTTTCAACAGATCTCCACATCTAGCGACCGACCTCTTCTTTGGCACCAGCTAGCACACTTGAAGCAAAGTTGGTCTCAAATCTCTTGCTTACGCTATGGGAACATTGCATTTCTGTTTAGGTGGCTTATCAAACCTCTCTTGTGCAACCCAGAAGATGTCGGCATCCCAGAGTGGAGGGTGACAGCCCAGGCTGCTCCAAGACAGCGTTGGACACATCTGCATCAATGCTTTTTAACTTGGTTTCACTGACAGTTAACTCTAGAAACATCAGATACCTATAAAGGCTGGTATGGAGACTCCCCATGTGCTTATTTGAGGCAATAAAACTTGTTTTTAAGCTAGGCATCTACAGATGTTTCTGTCCAAAAAAAAGCTCTTTTTGCCAAGTAATCTGAGGACTCGGTACAGATGTACAGATTGACTTTTTTCCTGCACTCCCTGAACTCCTTGTTACTCCTCTATTGTACTTACCAGCCCAAACCCGGCCACTCTTTAACTGTGACCCGTTAACTGAAGATGGTGCACAACAAACCTCACGCCACCAAGCGCGGTGCTGGTCACACTGCGTTTCAGATAAAAGGAACGGGCAGCGCAGGAGCTTCTAGTCTTCCTTATTCTGCCTGAGGCAAGCAATGAACCTTACAAATCCCATCCACTTCCTCCCACGAGCAGCCACTGGCTTGCTAAATCCCACCCTTTGTCAATGGCTGAGGGAATCTCTGGGGAGAAGGCCAAAAGCGGAATAGTAAAAAATTGCATAAAATGAAGGCTTAACAGTGGTAGAAAGGCACAAAACCCAGAGAGCCCTTCTGTAACAGTTCTTTTGAATAGAAGAAAGCTCAGCTGGGGTAGTTTAAAGGAATAAGGCTGAATTAGTTAGTTTCTGTGTTTAGGTAATAATACCATTAATCACAGTGAACCATTTCCTGAGCAGGCTGATACACGGCACTGTGCAACTCCACAGGAATTCCACCGTAGTGCGGCGTTATTGACGGGCCATCCTCTGAGAGCACAAGAGCGATGCCTCTGAATACGGTAAACGGCAGATCGCTGATTCTCTTTTAGTATTCGGACTGCCCCCACATCAGTCAGGATGGATTCTTCCGGCACTGATTTAACGCTCGCTTTTAAAATCTTACGTGGATCAACTGCTTCTAAAGGATCAGTTCGTATGGTCCTGAGGGGTGCATGGACAACCCCTTTCTTCACAGCTGTCTGCACTGGGAAGATGCAGCTACGCACTTTCCAAGGGAAGTTAGGGACGCTCATTTACTTGGGTCGGTGCTGGGGGTGGTGTCAAGCTAGACGGTCTGTTGGACAACGGTCCTGGGAGAGAATTACAATCCCCCGGAGCCAGCATTACTAATATCCTTATGCTATGCCGAGACCAACACGCTTTTCACTTCCACCGTGTGTTACACGTTCCTCTGACTTCAGCTGGGAGAGCAGGTGCTGATTTTTAATGCCTGTTTTGCTTTAAGCCTCCTTTCATCAGATTAAGGACCCTGCTATTTTATTTCATTTTATTTTTTCATGCGTGCTAATTTAGTCACACATAAACTTAAAAACAGAAGCTGTAACACGCTGTTAAAACACGGTCGCCCACTGCTACACCC